AGAGAGAGAGCGAGAGAGAGAGAGAGAGAGAGGGAAAGTATTAAATTTCCGTTAACATGTGTGGGTGTGTAGATCTAGATACATACAAAATGTTTGCCAAAACGTCTTTGTCTAAGTGTCATTTCACATTTATTCGGAGGACACTCTAAGGCCCAGGAAGGATTGGGCTTTCAAAATAGAATAAAGCAAAGCGCGATCCGGAAGATGATCATCTGACGGCTTTAAGTGTTTCATAAACGCTTACTGCAATCGTTACGAGCAGTCAACAGGCAGATGTTTACAGGATTTTATCAGGATAACGACGTTTAAGCTGCTCAGGATCACATACAATGTTTAGAGTGTTCTTTCTGTGTCTTTAGGAGGATGGACTAAAAAGTGACAGCATTCGTAATTTTGTGCCCGGGCTGCCGTACCAAGACGATGGCCACACGGATTATATTATTCCTAGTATTATTGGTGAGATCTATCTATCTATCTATCTATCTATCTATCTATCTATCTATCTATCTATCTATCTATCTATCTATCTATCTATCTGTCTGTCTGTCTGTTTGTCTGTAGAATCATTAATACAATTTTTGGCCTAGAAGTTTATTTATTGATTTGCTTTATTTGATTGCTTGTATTTGCTTTTGCATTAAATCCAGCCTATCAAAACAACAGGTTTATTTTTCATTTTTATCTACCGTGTTGTTGAATGGTTGTCTTTAATAGACTATTGCGACTAATACAAAACTGGTATCTAAAATAAACAAATCCCCCGTGATTTATCTGCATTTATCGTCAAATGAAATATGAGCAGTTCTAAATTTCTTTTCCCGAAATCGGCCTGTAATTGGAAGCACTGAGAACTGATATAGTCGAGGTTTATGTGACAAAACGCGTTAGATCTGTGTCAGAAAAAGGAATGAAACTAGAAAAGAAATGTTGATTGTTTGATTCACAGTGTGCATCCTTTCAAGAAAGCAGCATTGAATCAAAGAGGTACTAAATCGCTTCATGGCCGTCTGTGGTGTAGCGGCTAGGTACTTTGTTGTCGTATGCGGAAGACTAAAGTTCGATAACCGCTTGGGGAGAATTCTTATCAAGTATCTCTGTCCGTCTGCTGTTGTGCCGCATTCCTCTCAGCCCGGGTTGGCCCTTTTGTTTTAGTAAGCCTTTTACGGCACTTGCAACACAATTAGGCCATATAAGTGCTGAATATTAGAGCTATTACGAGAGAGTAACAAACATAAAAAGGGAGAAATAAGACGATAGATATTTGATGGGGAAGAAAGAGTAAGCCTCACCAGAGCACCCTCTACCACCCGGGAATTCAGGGTTGAGGCAGGCCGTTTCATTTGTCTGAATTGCGTCAACGGGGGCATAAAACATCTACCATTACCATATAAGTACTGAATTGTTGGTAACAGTCCATTTTGTGATCCAATGAAATATCCCACAAGCGATCTAAATGGAAACAATACATGTGGAAGAGCGAATGACGTAAATAACCAGTTTTGTCACAAAGCGTTCTTTCTATTCGATTTATCTAGTTAATCGGATATCTAGGTCAAGGACTATCGCAGCGTTAGCGTTACATCGTTTTCCATAAAGGTATTGTCCGCAGACTCACATAATTCTAGGTTTGAACCTTAATCAAGCTATCGACATCGACATGCTACCTTTACTGTTTTTATCTGCCCACAGCTTCTGATCAGTGCAGTCTTACCGGCTCTCGGTACGAACGAGACATTGACATCAGCAAGTCCACTGAACGGTATATATATATAATATATACTGACAGAAAGACAGACAGACAGACAGACAGACAGACAGATAGATAGACGACAGAGAAAGAATGAAAGAAAGTGGGGGTGGGGTTTTATAAAAACGATGGACGCAACAACATGATTTAGACCAGTTGGTGGAAGGGAATTAAACCCTTGATTGGATTGATGGAAAAGAAATAAACCTATTATCAAACTTCGAGGCTTATTTCACCTGAAAGAGCACGTCCACTGGCTGAAAATATAAGGTCTCTTGCTGCTTCATTTTGTTTTTGATTATATTTCAATTCCTACTAGAAACAGAAAAGGTCAATGTAAAGGCTTAACACCCCTCCCCCCATGGAAAACAATACACTTACCCCCTCCCCATTTCAAGAAAGTTATCTTCATATGCTATTATTGTAAAATCTAAAGAAAGTCATTTTGTCGACAAAACAAAGCAACACAAAAAAGACAGAAAGGTAAGACATGTGGAACAGAACCCAAGACCCCACTTATGAATAGATACGAGGGCTACAGAAAAAGTACAATTATTAAGTTTTAATAGATCTAAATAAAACATTCATATATTGAACTGTAACACCATTCAGCCGCTTCTCAAGATAGTCCCTGTTAAGATCGATGCATTTCTCTAACAACTGACCAGAGAACATGTGTTTTGGAAAAAATGGTTCAGTGAATAAATCAATTTTGAACTTAAGTGGTAGCCTACGGTCATCATCTTCATAAAACCCTTCTTACTAAATGTCACTTTTGGGGGCACCAGGAGATGAATGTCTAAGAAGAAGAAGAAGAAGAAGAAGAAGGAGAAGAAGAAGAAGAAGAAGAAGAAGAAGAAGAAGAAGAAGAAGAAGAAGAAGAAAAAGAAGAAGAAGAAGAAGAAGAAGAAGAAGACGAAGCACTGACGGGTTCAAACTCTGTACCATTGGTATGAGAAACGAGCACCGTGCATCTGGATCACATGTTCCCCTAGTTCTAACACTTTCATTTTTGCTCTACACACTCACAAATGCATTGGGTTTATGAAAACAACTGTGGGATCGGTTTCTTTGGAAGGAGAAAAATCGAAAGACTCCCTGCACTTGTTGCACCACGACCAATATTATACAGTGGCGTAAAAAAAAAACTTGAAAATGTATTCACCCAAACATCGTGTTATAGCCTTGCACTACCCACTCAAGCAGCATATCACTTCAAAGCTAAATACATTCTACATCATCTGGCACAGTAATATTTCACCTGTGTTAAGAGACGCCCGAGATATGGTATCTCAAAACTGACCTTAAAAAATCAGGCTTGGCTAAATCGTGCGAAACCAAAGAAATGTGAAATTGTTTTTGCGCGTGTATTGGGTAGTACTAATATTGATACAATGCACATACATTGCAAATCCAGTGAATGGAGAATTTTGTCTTGCAATAAACTTCTTTTTTTTTCAACAGTTTCAATCAAAATGGAAAATCACACAAAACTTGGACTTAACATTAAAAGTGCTGATTGTTATTTTGCTTAGGAGCTAGATATCTCTTAGTTTTGTGTAGAGCACGAACCCTTTGAGCATCAGCTGTATTAAATTTTGGACAAAATTATCCGTCATTTCATCTCAAATGTTACAGGCAAATGCAAACAAAAGGTCTGTATTGGGAGTAAAGCCGCTTTTCTTAAAATGCTGTTTCATGAGACTTCACATACCAGTACGATTCATATCCGGGGTAATTTATTGGTGACCACTCCAACGTTGGTATGGTTTGGTTTTCCAAGAATTGTCTTGTGGCATTGGCACTGTGAGAGAGTGATTTGCCATGCATGTAGATGTCTACTTGAATGACACCATGACGAAAATGAAGGTAACACATGACGTTCCAGAACTTGCTCCATGTAATCCACCAAACCAAGCCACTCGGTGATTTTCACGAGGGCAGTTTTGTTCATTCCACCCCAGACCAGCCAAAACCATGAGTCTTTTGTGGCCTCTGTTCCTCACTGACAAATGTTTAGTCTAAAATCTGCTTAACACAGTCCATGTGCAAAAGGTTTCGTGCTCTACAAGAAACAAACTGCTCCTAAACAAAAACAAAATCATACAAATGACCAGATGTTATGTTAAGTCCAGGTTTTGCATGGTATTTGTGATTATTTTGTTTTCTAATCTGTTTGAAAATTTCGTCAGAAGATGCTGTTCATTGCAGAGACAATCATATTCTCAATTCGTTTTGTTCAATACATGTCCGCTCCACCAATGTTGAGGCACCTCGGTACATGCGCGAACACAGTTTTACGTTTATTTGATTTCGCATAATTTTGCCAATCCTGATTTTTTAAGGTCAAGTTTGAGTGACCATATCTCGGGCTTCTCTTTATGTAGCTGAATATCATAGTGTCAGATGATGCAGAATTTATTTAGCTTTAAACTGATATGCTGCATGATGGGTAGTGCAAGGTTAAAACATTATGATTGGGTGATTACATTTTAACGTTTCTTTTGGACGCCACTATATTATTGGGTAGCCGTCTTTGATCTGACGTCATAAATGCAAGCATTCAATAGACATGCAACGAAACTTTTGGCCAAATATATAACTTACATTAGATTGTATACTCCGTTTTAGATGCCAGATAGACAGACAGACAGACAGACAGAAACACAGACAAACAGACAGACAGATAGATAGATTAGACAGACAGACAGACAGATATATAGATAGATAGATAGATAGATAGATAGATAGATAGATAGATAGATAGATAGATAGATAGATAGATAAATAGATAGTCTTTCTCCCGCCCCAC